ATTTTTGCACTCTTAGAAAATGACCTCCAAATATCAGTTAGAGGTCAAATAACGCAATGACCTTGAATGACCTTGACCTTGAAATATGACAATTGAGTATCGCCCAAATTTCCAGTAACAAAATATCTTTCCTCTAGGTCACTCAAGAGCAAAGATATAGCCAATTTACAACGGGAAAATTAGCTGAAATGCCCTGTATAACAATTAGGTTAGTGATGCACTTGAATGTGAATCTGAAGAATGTGCAAAATGTCATTTACAAATAGTTTAAAGGCAAGACAACATCAATATTTTGTTTACCAACATTTAACAATTTTCATCTTTTCATCTTTTCTTTCTTTCAGATTATTTCCATTTGCCTTTTAACCATGTAACTAGCCATTGCGATTATCGACTTTCAATTGATTTCAAATGTTTTCCAATTGTCAACCTACAAGCTGATCAACACGAAAGGAAACCAAAGCAAAAATCATTTTGTAACACAATGAATGGTTCGGAAAGTAAAAGTCGCTGGATTTGTCCAAATGATAGGGAATTAACGTTGAGAGCAAAGTAAGTCATGACCATCAAGTTCAACTAGTTATCTGAAAGTAAAGAATGAAAAGTTGACCAAAGAAATAAGATATTTATCAAAAGGAGAAGAAGAAGAAGAAGAAGAAGCAAAATGATAAATGATGAAAATGTTGTCAAACAAACTGATACTAAACTGTGTATTTTTGGTTTGCATCCTCATCCTTTTCCCTTGCCTTATCTTGATCATCGTTTGCTCACGTCACTTGGTTGGGTGCTAAAGCAATTTATTATTAGCGATGTTCGCTTCGCCCAGTTTTACCCATAATTTCCGGTTACATGATTTGTGAAATGTCTTGTAAAATTGACCAGAAAATTGTGTCTAACCAAACATTATCTTATTATAATTAGCAATGTATATCGACATAAATCAGTTTAAACTTGACGCTCAAATGGTTCAACAGCTTCCATTTTTTTCAACTCTTTTGTTCATTCTTTCATTTTCTTTCTTTTCTCAATCAATTGTTAGATTGGATTCTGGTTGGTGTGTCAAGAGTGGATTGAATTCACCTTCATCTGTTAATCAAATCAATGAGCTGGAGCAACAAGTTATCATGGACGTTCTTAGACGATCCCAGCAATTGGAAGCCATTGAAAGTGATAGGATAAGGTGAGTTGCAATAGTGCTTCATTCATCAAATAAAACATGCAAAGTCTTTAAGCCGATTTCCATCAGATATCAAAAAATTTCAACTGAGTAATGACAATTTAAATTGAATTGGATGAATAAAATATTCTTTCTAGCAAAATCTATAATCATTTTTTGATTATTATTCGTGAAATGAAAGAAAGAAATATATCGATTCAAAGGAACATATTTTTGATACAATATGATTAAAATGAACTAAATCCTTAAGAAGCTAATATCCTTTTTCAAGTTTCAAATATTGTGGAAATGGAATTTTCTTTAGAGAATTTTCAGATAACCGGCTCTTCGAATTCAAGTTGTAAATGCAGAAAATTCATAAAACGCATTCTTAATATGCACCAGAATCGATAGCCGGTTGAAAGGTCAAATTCCAAGCAGAGATTTTCTCTAACTTCGAGTTTTAATTTCATGTTCGCGATGTGTTTGCAATCATTGGTAGGCTAATGTTACTTTATTTTAGAGATTTTAGTCATTTCTCTCTAAAGTTTCTCTTTACGATTTCATCCGTATAAAATGAAACAGTTTTTGGACGCTATTGTGCATATAGTCGCAAATGCTTTTCTGTATTTTTCAAAGTGTTTTTTTCCCTGATTTGATCTCAAAATTTGCGAATCGAAAAGCTTTTCAAATTCGAGCAAACTCGATCATAAACAACTTGGCAAATTCACATCAAGACTCAAACTGACTTCAAGTTTGTTTCCTATTAAAGTTAATGTTTAGCCATTTCTCATTTTGTTTCTTTCGTTTACGCAAAAACTCTTGAGTTAAGACCTAAGACTTGATGAGCTTGTATAATAAGAGCAAGAAGTTCATTTTGGAAGAAAAATTTCTCTGATGAACGACTTTCGAAAAGATTGTGTTAAAGCTCGAATTTCGTACGATTATGGAATTAGATTTTTCATCAAATATATTCTTATGGCAATTCTTGGTCTAAATAAAAAAGCTAATTTTTCTAGTCAAATAGACGCTCAGACTTTATCATGAGTCTAATCATTATTAGCTGTAAACTTGCATCTTCATTACCTTGTGAAAGTGAATCTTGAATTTTGCAAAATCTATATTCGTCTTTGTTATTGATTCAAATTGAGTCTTTGATCGTTGATTAAATTAAGCTATCACAGTCATGAATTTGATTATCCTTAAAGCGTTATTAATAGTTATTTACTGTCATCATCGATGATTAATTGACATTTGTTTAGCTTTCTGTCAACCTTTTTTGTCATCTTCAGCAACTTGATTAAAGTTAAATTTCCCATGTAATTACACCAAGGCTTTTAGACTCTATTCAATATAATCTTGCAGTTAATAACTTATTGATGAACTCAATTTATGATTTGAGAGTTTACATTGAACTGAAAGATGCAATTGATAACAAATTGTGTTGCTTTATTATCAACTCAAGCTTCTGGTAAAAGCAAAGATTAAAGCATAAGATACAGCAATTGAGAGGTACTGATGTTAGTAAGGGACAATGCCCACCTCAAGCGCTAGTTGTCGCATTTTTACTGTGATTTACCTTTAATTTTAATCTTTCATTTTTTTGTAAAAAAAATTAAAAATAGTTTTCCTATTTAATTTTGATCAAAATTTTGTCTGTGGTGCCCTCCAGTGGGCATTGTCCCTTCAGGTTCTCTGTACCTCTTTACTGCAGTATCTTATACATTAATCTTTGGGTAAAAGCCATTTAAAACAATCTAATTCAACCTTTGCTGTCTACTTGATCGGGTAACAAAAAAGGTCAATTTATATTTACATTATCAATCTCTTATTATCATTAAAACAAATAAATCAATGTCATTTGTATTGTTACATGAAAAGATTACAACCTTTGAAACATTGATAAATCATCTTATCAATAACATGTAATCATTTCAAAGCTTGCTGTAAACCCAAAAACCAGAAAATGTCTTTTTCTCATTTAACTGAAATCTTTATCTGCTGATGAAATGAAACAAATTGTCTTCATTTTTTTGTAAACCTTTATTGTTACACAAACTGATATTAATATCAAATACAATATCAAATTAATCGTTTCTTTTTTTTCTTGTTCATCTTTTATTTCAGTCGATTACAGGATCGTCTGAATAACATGAAACGTAATGCCAAAGGTGATGGGAGTAAAGCTTGTGCTCTTTGTAGCGATTCATTTGGCCTTTTTGGTGCCCAATGTCATCACTGTAAAGACTGTTTAAAGGTAAATCAACTTTCATTTGCACCGAGTTTTCAACAACATTTCAGCAAAATCATTTAAAGATTTTCTCTCATCGCCATCTGTTGGGTTTTGCACAAATTGCTTCTCAAGATGAGTCTAATTCAATTTTAGAAGCGAATCTCAAAAGTCTTTGAAACTCGAATACAATAATGAAAGCCTCAAATTTTTTCAATTTCACTGAAAATAGTTCAATAATAATATTAACGATTTATGCTAATTTTCGTGACAATGTCAATTTTCACGTGTAATAATTTCATTCTCATCTAACAAGTCATATCTTTATCAAACTGTTTAGGCAAACCTAATCAAACTTTAATCAGGAAAAACATTGATATAACCATTGAGATATTTTACAAGATCAAATGATGAATTAATCTGAAATTGTATGCTAAAATTGATTTCTAATTGCGATTCTTGAATAATCTCTTTACAGTCTGTTTGCAGTAAATGTGGAGTCGATACTTTTACTCCAATTGGTGAACCCATTTGGCTTTGTAAAATTTGCTCAGAAACAAGAGAGGTAAGTCATGGTTAATCTCATTCGGGACCGGCCTTTTTCACCCCAAACACCACATTTTCCACCAATTTTTCAATCTCCTACGAAATTCCTACTTTTTGCAACGCATTGTCTACCATACTGTACACCACTCTAATCTAACACACTCACTACAGCAACCGAATCAATATCATCACCAGGGCTTTTCACATTTTATGCCTTTCGTCTATCTTATGTAAGTTACATTAGGCATAAAAGATAAACCTAAGAAAAGTCCATTGATTTTCAATGGGAAAAATTATCAACAAGATTGGTCAAAAAAAAGGCGTCTATCTTTTAATCAGGACAGATCAAGACGATAAAACTGAAAAATAATGAAAAAAGAAAGAGAAAAGAAAGGGAAAAGATAGACATAGGCATAAAATTTATGCCTTTTGATTAGAAAAATGTTTTAATGCCTTTTGAAAAGCCCTGATCATCACTTTTAAACGAAAAGTTTATTAACAAAATTGTTCGCCACTTTTGGCAAATGATAGTGATGAATAGTGGATGTTGGACAATACGGTGAAAAAGGGGTTAAAAATGGTCCACAATATCCATTTTGAAAGAGTGGACAAAGTGGTGGAAAAATTTAAGTTATCATTTTATCGTTAATCGTAATTTCAATCATTTAACCTTTTCTTTTCTCTTTTTCAATATTCTTTTCGCTCATTTTACCAGATATGGAAAAAATCTGGTGCCTGGTTTTTCCAAAAGATACCAAAACCATCCACGCCTAATCATCAATCTTCATCATCAAAAAAACGTTGATCTCTAAAGAAAATTTCAATTCAACTAAAAGATACTTTTGATGATGAATACACTGAACTTTACCTAAAAGATGAACCTAACTTTTATGGAAACATTCAACTGGCTTATTCCTAGCTTCATCTTCACACTAATACAACAATTAAGTGATATAACGTTTACTTTCCATTTGTCCCGTTCGATGTAAATAAAGAAAACATTAAATGTACATGATTAAATTGCCGTCTTTACATTTAACCATTAAATGTATTACTTTTGAAAGTTGCCAATAAAATTTACAATGAAAACAATTAAACAGTCACTTTGTCCGAACTTGACTTGAAGCCATCGTTCAATATGAACAATTTATTTATACAATGCAATACAATTATCTTGATAAGAAACACATTGACAATAAAATGCTAATCAACAATGATTTGACAATCTTCAATGATCTTGAACCCGAAGATATTTTGAAATTAGTTTGATCAACATGAGCAAACATATTGTTTTCAATTATCTGTAATTCATAAGTTGTTTCCTTTAGATTTATTGGTCCATAAAGAGTATGAATTGGATCAGCAAATGACCATCGGCACTCATTTCCATCGATGCTCGAATTAAGGATTTTATCACGCAAATTATCTTCTAATTTTAAAGCTCTTGCATACGCACTCATGGTTCTTTTGTTGAAATTCAACTCAATCTTTATGCTCAATGAATTGTCATTAATTAAATTGACTTGAACCAACTTTGGAGTTTCGCCATTAATTTCCAACAAGAAATCAATAGTTTTATCTGCTACTCGAGTAATAAACAGATACTTTTCCGAGCCAATAGCTTTGTATGGATAACCATCAACAAACTGTCCAGCACTTGCTGGTAGCTGAGCATAGTTGGCTTGAGCAATAGGCACAGTCTGGGTTAAGTTGTAATAGATTTGGTATCCACGGTCTGAGATGTAATATTGAGGTTGATCAATCAGTTGAAAAGGAAATGAAGAGTTGTTCATATCCAGTGACCAGGAGCAATATAATTCATCATCGATATAAATCGAAGTTCCATTTATCTTTGGATAGATTCTATAATAGAGAAACACTCCATTGACAGTATCATTGATAATCGGTGATTTAACTACAGGACCACAAGTATATAAAAGTTCTAAAGTGTTTTCATTAACAGCAATCTGCATGAATGGAGAATCGTTAGATTCGGGCCATTCTACCTTAGCAAAGATTAGGTTACCATTAATAGTTGGTCGAGTAGTTAATCTACAATCTGGATTCGCGCCTTCTGCTCCGATCGTGGAACGGGTTGTAAATCGTAATGTTTGCAATGGACAAGGATCATTATCTGAATCGAAACATTTTTTCCATATTGTTGTAGTTGTTGTTGTTAATTGAGACACAATTAAAGTACATAGAATAGTTGACAAAAGCATGTTCTTTGCCTTGTTATTACAAGTCGTCACAAAATAATGAAAAAATGTACTGATTTAAGCAGAATTATCTATATGTGAAAAACTCAGACTTTTTCATCTGAACATGGAAATTGGAGGCAAAATTATGAGCACTCGCTGAGCACTAGATACTTTGGGAAAACGTTCACTAATCATGCAGATTAATTGAAGCTTAATTTAGCTCATGATTTATGAGATAAATACGCGATTAGTATTGATTACAATCATGAAAGAATAAATATTCTCAACTAATGAGTCATTAGTAATGACTAAACAATACTAATCATTTTCCTAATGCAAATTGATAAATGAATTTCAATCAGATTTGATATGAGGGCCAAAAAGACTTCTAATCGAGAAAAGTAGTGATCTTGAAAAGTATTACTTATCTGGCAGAAATATAAGAATTTATTTAGGTAATACAGGCTCATTCTGATAAGATAATTAAAAAAATATTACGCAGCGCACTTTCCATGAAATTCGATTGTGCTTAGATTAGAGATAAATACTAATATAAATCCAATAAACGATCATACTCGTGCAGCAATCTCATCAGGTAATTGTAAGAAATTTTTAGCATTTTTCTTCTGACAAACTTTTAAAGTTACCATCTTGGTAATCTTTTGATTGTGAAATGCTCTTTCATTAGTATTTATTTGTTACATTTTTACTCTTTTAAAAAAATGAAAATGATTATTATTTTGGGAAATATGTATTTCTGATTTTAGGGATCAATATTTTCTTAGGGCAGGCTAATCAGGATTTGTTTCCGATTTCCGAGACAGCATCATCATATTTTGTAAACTCTTTTAGGTTATCCAATAACCCTTGAATTGTTTTGATGGTACAGTGATAGCTGGAAGCTCGATTTTTCAAATGCCCAAAGTTAGTGTATACAAATGTATTCATATTCAAATAATGAATTAAACATCATTTCAGGGCAAAACACTTGTAACTTCCATGAAATTTTTCTGTAAATTTTCAACTAACTTGAAAGTATATACACCTAAAGTATAAATAACAAATAAAAAAAGAAATGAAATGGAAAAATAATCAAAATTTTTTATCTGGAGTTGTATAAATAGGAGTTGGAAATTTAGCTTCTTATAGCCGACTAAAACCTAGCTGATAGCCGTTAATTTGTTTGCTGAGATATTGAAGTTCTTTCTTGTCGTGTTCCATTTCTTCGTTCAAATCTGTGTATTTATGAATTTTTGTATTTTAGTTTGCTTATCATGTTATTACTATTTTGACCAGTAAGAGAAAGAAATTTTGCCAATAAAGAAACAATACGCTTGTTGCTACTCAAACACATTCGTCTACATAACGGGCGTTTTTTCTATTTTACGCCATCATGCAGGCATAACTCACGAACACTCAATGCTAGAGCCCTAAGACTTAAACCATGAGTTTAATCAGATAGAACAACCATTATTTCAAACGCTCAAGGTTATTCAAGGTTAATTCTTCATTTGACCTTCAACTGACATTGCAAGGTCATTTTCTGAAATCGAAATCTAAATTTTTCTGATTCCATAGTGCTGATCCCATGTTAATTGCGCATTTAACTGGAAAGATAAATGAATTTTTCCTTAATACGATTGAATATGACTGATACCATAACACAATGTTATGGTATCAGTCATTTTCTTTAGCCAGTATGAGTTATGCACATGCGATTTTCGATTTCAGAAAATGAACTTCCAATGTCAATTAGAAGTCAAATAAAGAATTGACTTTGAATAACCTTGAGCGTTTGAACTAATAATTGTTCAAGTCTTAGGTCTGTAGCACTAATCGTTCGTGAGTTATCCATGCATGAAGACGTAAAATGAAGAAAAACGCCCGCTAAACATGGAGGCAAATAACAGGAAACAAAAAAAGAACAAGAAAGCTTAGCCTTCGTTAGAGCCCATTTATGTTGCTCAACTTTGAATTTTAACGCTTTTCTTTCCACTAACCTTGAGTCATTTCGCCTACGCAGTGCTTTTTAGAGTATATATAAGCAAAACTGTGCGCTACATTGCAGGAGCAAACTATAAATTTTATTGAATTTTTCAGCTGGATAATAATGGCAACGGTCAGAGTAGTTAATTTTCCATTTTTTGAGTATCATGCTATGAGCAGCTGGGAAAGATCTTAATAAACACACGAAAATATCCACTGTAATGGCCATTGGATCCTTGTGGCTACCCCATGAATCAAGAAGTAAATAGATTTTGATACGATGATACAAACTATGATAATTGATGGAAATGGCGTTTTGAAATGTTGTTAACAATGATGATGCAAGTTTTGAAAAAATTTATGATATTTTCTACACCAATTCAAAAGAAAAACCAACATTAGTTCAGTATATAAAAATACAAGCTATTCTTAACAGAAACATACCTGTTTGATAGTGAATCCACTACAAGAGGACATTAAAAATATAATTTATCAATTGCATTAAACAATAACCCCAAAATTCCAATTGATTAATTGAATTAACTAATCTATATTACTGTAAGATTTGCAAAGATGTAAACAAAGCTATCATACATTATGTATTTTCAATTAAAATTTAGGGTTAATAGCAAAAAAACTTATCCCACGATGTGAAATTTCGAAAAGAACGACTGTAACACAACAATTAAGCCATACAACGTTTACTTTACATTTTGTCCCGTTCAATGTAAATAAACAAAACATTAAATGTACATAATTAAATTGTCGTCTTTACATTTAACCATTAAATGTGTTACCTTTATAAGTTGCCAATAAAATGTACAATAGCAAACAGTTGAACAATCACTTTGTCTACTTTTAATCAACTCGTAAACTATTCAGTTTTTTGGACAGTTTATCTATACCATTAAATGGTTTGTTGAATGCTGAAGGAAAAGGTTAACATAAAAAACAATAGATGGCAGTATCATTCATGAACCAATTTAATACAAAAAATAAACTTTCACATGAATGACTTTAAATTGTTAAATTCAATCTTTTGTTTGTTTAACATGAAATTCAAAGTCACTTGATTTACAATTATTTGTATCGATCATGCAAATGAGGAATATTTTGCTGTTCAAAACGTAAAGTGTAATAAGAGCTTGGATCAAAAGTAAAGTTGAACAATTGAGTCTGATGAAATGTGGTTAAAAAAGGTTCAATTATCATTAGCGAGTCGGTCCAGGTTGATTGACGTTTGACAGTTGCTCATCTCAAAGCTTGTCTAAACAAAGTTACTTTTGTTTTTAATTAAAAATGTCAATATGGATGATACTCTGGAATCAACTGTTAACCCGAAAAGGTTAATATTGAGCTTTCAAACCTTTAAAGGTTAAAATGTGTTATTTTGTCAAACATGAAGAACCTCAAGTTTATATTCAAACAATATCAGTTCAATAGCTCAATGTTTATCCATCAAAGTAAACCTGAAAAATGGTCGATATTGATTACTAATTAGGAGTTGGAATGAAAATCAGTTGATACTTTGAAAGTCGAACGTCAAATGTTTGATTTGTAAAAAAGATTTGAACATTAATCTGGCGAACCAGTGATTGGATTCCATTAGGCAACTTTAAGTTTACATTTGAAAGGAAATCAGAAATAATTATTTGACAAAAAACAGGAATCTTGAATGACGATTGGCAGATGTAAAGATTTGTAATCAATCATAAACTCATCAATTATTGAAGATGAAAAGAGAAACGATGAAACACATTTTATTGAAAAAAGGTAACAAAAAAGTTCGATAATGTTGATAAGATGTTCTGATGAGCTGATGTAACGAGTCTTTTATCAGTAAAATAGTTTCACTTGAATTTCATCGAATAGTTTACTGATGGATTTATCCAAATAACTCGAATTTTTTATCGATTTTCAGCTGAGTTTTTCTGTGGCCAGGGGAAAGAGGAAAAGTAAATCGAAAAAATAATGCTAAAGATTTGATTAAAGATGAGGATGAGCAAAAGACTTGGAAATATAATATATGTTGAATGTTTTAAAATAGCGTCAGATAAGTGCAGATATTGAACACAGATAGAAGATAGAATATTGATTTAAATTGAACTTTTTCTCATGTTCACAGTCTATCCATTGGTTCAGGAATGTTCAAGTAGAACTAATAAGCCTCATTGAGTCTTCATTGTATCTGTTATTTCGAATCAATTTTGATCGACTTATACGCAAATCTCTGGTCGATCATTTCTATCGATAATAACGTCATAAATAGATGATTAACAGTGTTAAATATTTTGCTCAAACTGTATCGAGTTTATCATGAATCGATAATGCAACTTTAATATTGAATGAATGAAACAAGTAACAGAAGGAAGAAATGAATGATTTTAAATGAACTCTTAATTGTTAACTTAAACACAGAGAATAGATGAAGTTCCCAAAATATCGCTAAATAAATATGAGCATAAATAAAGATTTGTAAATTTTCATTGGAATCGATTTTTTGCATTTTTCACATTTCGATTGTAACTGAAAAACTAATCAGCAATGTCACGTTATTCAGTCTATTAGCCAGTCAAGCCATTGGCTGCTAGTGAGTGTTGCTCGGCTTCGACATTAGATACAGTGTTGCCTTCAGGTTTGTGGAAGAAAAGGAAAAATCGATTGATTTCTGTTTTTCGTCCGCAATCGAGCAAATGAACGGACAGAATCAGAACTCTCTCAACTTCCTAATTTAAGAATTCAAAGGATTGTTCTAAACTATCGAATCGAGTCGATTGTCGTAAATGGAACTTTCAAAATAATTGAAATTTAACGTCAATTTCAGAGCATTTAACTGATCCAAATGAATTTAAATAATTGCTCAATGATTAATTCATCATTGAAATGGAGTAGCAAGCAAGTGATGTTCAACATTGTCAATGAATATAAATTTGAAAGGTGATGAACGAAAAAAAAGTAAAGACTTGAAAAGATGAAATTAGGATGATCATTATGGGTTAATTATGGTAAAAAGTGGAGCATGGAAGAAGAAGATAAAAATAAGAAAATGAGGGAAAATGATGAGAGATGATGGAAGAGAAAAGGTAAGAAAAAAAAGGTAGAAAAGAGACAAAAGCTGACGAAGAAAGAAGAGTCAAGGAATGAAGATGATAAGAGATGATGATCAGGGAATAACAAAGTTAACGAAAAATGTAGAGTTTGCGTGATAATCGGCTAACTGAGAATAGCTGTTCGAAGGCAACAGTTCAAACTCTCTCTCTCTCTCTCTCTCTCTCTCTCTCTGTTCGTCTTCCATTCACCTATCATCATTTATCTTCAATTGCAAGTTTCATCAGTGATAAACATTGAACTGAAAGACAGTGTTGAACGGAACGAGCAAAAAATGTCTCTTCACTCAAATACAATGTTAACCTCAACAAAAGCATCTCATCGTCAACCTCTTTTTTTGCGTTAATTATTGTGCCTAACCAAAGATGATCAGCTCATTATCATCATGAGAAGAGAAGTGAAAAAGTATTCATTTATTTTCAATGTTTGCCATGAATCAAAGAAGCAAATTACCAAGAAAAACAAGTCTTTCATTAATGTACTTTACCTTTTGCCAACAATCAAGTTAAAGTAACAAGAAAAGATGGAATAGAGAAAATCATCTTTTTTGTCAATTGTTCCAATTCTGTGTGTGTTCAAGTTTCAAAATCAACTGTAAAAGCTCATCAAGTTCAACAGTTGATCAACTTTAATCATATATTGAAATGTCAATTAGTTTAATAACAATTTGGAAAAACAATCGAGACTAAAGTGTTTCCAAATTTTTCGGATTTTGTGACTTCGATTTTGTGTTTCTTTTGTTTCTTTCATTTTTGCTTTAAGTAAAGAGTCGAACATGTTTGCCAAATTAAAGGGTGGAACTGGAGGAACCTCGGGTCAAGCTGGACAAACACCGATTCCTGCAACTTCACCAGAAACTGCACTTCACAACCCGATCAGCCAGTACTTTGAGATTGGCAAGCAAATTGGATCAGCAGGACCTGAATTGGCTTGGAAAGTCTATGAGGCCTACAGAAAGTCAGATGGAAAGGTTTGTTCATCTTTTTCGTTCTTTTGCTTTCTTATCCAATTATCAATCAATTGTCATTCTCATCATCAGCATTATCAATTGTTCAGTTCAATTCCAACCTTGATCAGTTTATTGACACATGAGAACATTTACAATCAAATAATCAGCATAAATGATGTGATAATTTGATTACAGGTAATAATCAAATTCCAGTTCAACTCTTGATTTAAACTTTTCCCTGTTATTAAGATAATGTTGTTATAAAATTGAGGAAATGTTTAGTTTTTACAGAATTTTTTTTTCTTCTTCAAACCTTTACATTTAACATTTTCCTTTCAGCATTCAATTGAAATTATTCGCTGCATTAATCAACTTTATTCATCCTTTAACAGATCAATAGATAAAGTGATCCATGGAAATTTTGCGCTTTCCGTTAATGCCATTTCAATAATTCAATCAAAATAATTTGTTCCTATTGGTTTAGTTCAGTTAAATTTCAACTTACAATTTGATTCAATTTTTCACAAAATTAGGAATTTGATTAAACTCGATTTTACAAATCGAGTCAATATAAGGAAATGTATTCAGGATGCAAAGTTTTATCTTGGATTGAAATACGGAACTTTTCTCAGATTTTTTCGCGTTCTTCTTCTGTAAAGTTGAAACCTCGAGAACTAATTTTCCAAAAATGATAAGTTCAAAGAGTTAAATGAAATATTGAGAAACAGGAAAAAACAAATCAATCAGTTTTTATCAATAACTTTTGTTATTCAAAATTTCAGTTGATTTCAATTTTCTGGTTTGATTGAAAATTTTCTTACATTTTGACACTTTTCTATTCAATCAAAGTTAGTAAATGCTGAAGGCCATAAAAAAGTTCCTCGTTTTCGTCTGAACTCAAAGTCCAAGACAATATTAAACTTGTCTTAATTTGTAGTAAATCGATTCTAATTATTCAATGACCTGTCAACTCTCTTTGTGCACAATAAATGTGTTGATCAGCACAACAAAATTGATTTTCAGAATTAACCTGATCAATTATCCAGAATCCAGTTTTCCTGAAATGATAAAAGTAACTTATAAAATACTAAAAATAAATAAATGTCAGCTGAAATTTGAATTGCATGAGCATGAGAATAATAATCATTAATTGGATGGAAATCGCATCAAAATTTTCAGTTTAATATCGCGGGATTGAATCTGATAACAATTGTGATCGAAGACAACATTGCTTAATAAGAATTTGAAAATTTCTCTTTAATCAACAGGAAGTTTCCGTGTTTTACTTCGACAAAAAGTGGACTGAAAAGTTTGGTAAAAGTTCAGGGAAACGTCGAGAGTGTATCAGTGAAGTGTTAAAGTGCGGTGCCCTTCAGTTGGATCGATTTCGCCATTCCAAGATTCTTCAAATAATCGCCAAAGTAGAGGAAACCAATGATAACCTTGCCTTTGCCAGTGAACCCATTATCGGCAGTCTGGCCAATATATTGGGTTACCTTGAGGATAGACTAAGACAGGGAGTTCCTTCGGTTCTAAGGGAATACACTTTCTCTGAATTTGAAACAAAATATGGACTACTCCAGGTAAGAATCTGACCCTGACTGGACAAGTGAAAAAAAGTGCAACAGAAAAAGAAAAGGAAAAAAAAGGTTTCACCATTTTTTGAAACAAATCGAATGATGAAATTTTGTGAAATCAAATTTCAAGGGAAGAAGGAAAAACAATAAACTGAAGAGGAAAACAATGAATTTACATTTCAATTTCAATTCACTCAATTTCATCTCATGTTGTTGATCATGAATGGAAGAAACGCTTTTTTTCCTCCTTCAACATTTGTTGAATCGTGTAAAGAAAAGGAAACACAAAAAGAGAAAGTTGAACAGCTTCATTTGGAATGTCAAACTTTTTTGTTTCTTTTCAACCCAAAAACGAAACATTAAAATTCTTGTTTTGCACTCACCTGTGGACATGAACTTGTTCATTGGCAGATCACTGAGGCCCTCCTTTATCTACATTATACATGCAAAATTATCCATCGAAATATCTGTCCACAATCTGTGATAATAAATAAACGGGGAACTTGGAAATTGTCTGGTTTCGAGTTTACAGTTAAATGTAATGACGGTGATAATATGGTGAGTTGATTGACGATTTCACGATTGATTTAACAATTTTTCTCTTCTTTTGCTGCGTTCGAGCTCAATAACTGACTCAACTAATGATTGTTTAATGATAAATTAATCTGCATTTAGTTTATTCTTTGAAAATATTGCTTGGTTACAAATGAACTTTGAATGGTGTAAATTGAAAGGTAAAAAATGAAAAGAAGAAACTCGAAGAGCACAGAATTGATCAATTTTAATCAAAGATAACGTCTAATTGTTTGATTAGTTAAGCCTGCTCATTTTCATTCAATGCAATTAACTTTATTCATTCTCGTACCTTATTCACTGTTCCATATGATTTACTTGTCGACTTTCATTCCTTCGAGACTGAGGATAAGCTTTTCATTCATTTAACAAATGTTAATCAATTTTAAGCTCCTGACAATTTAAAACCCATTTATCTTGTCCAATCAAGAAAAATGACGGACTTTGTAAACGCTTTTAGTAGTTCGAAGTTTGGTGCACGAGTTGAAGAAATTTTTTATTTTTTTTGAAGCTTACTTTGTAGAATTTTTCATTTGAATTCAATTATTATTGAGGACCTTGACTAACCAAAAAAAAGTACTTCTGGTGTTTCCATTCATGTAATTGCAAATGACTTGGTAATAATGCAAGGTGTTCCAGTCGAGTCAGACTTTTGAAAGCTCACAGATCAGCAAATGTTCAGCCGATTCTTATCTTAAATGTTAAATTTTTGTTTGACTTACTTTTGGTAACCATCAAATAAAAGGTCGTTTTTCGGCAAACCATCAAAGTTCGAAAAGAGTTAAATTTTAGTGGGGGTTGGTACTCAATATTTTTAACCAGGCCAAACAAAAGTCACAATTTTTCTGAGGTGAATGGTGTTTAGGGCATCGAAATCGGAGTTAAGGAAAAAATTTATCGTTAGTTAAAGTTCAGACATGTTCTCATGCTTTCGCTATAGCAAAAATAAAACGGTTTCTTTAGGACTACGAACATAGCCCGAAATTGTATCAAATGTCAACATATCGTTAAAAAGTAATTCAAGATCATTCTCGTGAATTGACGCAAGATTGAAAATATCAATGAATACCCAAAATACCGTTCTTATTCCAACAAGTTGAGCATTAACATTTCTTTCGACGAAAACTCACGTGCTTATTATAAGAAGTCTAAACTCTGTTTGGTAACTCTTGTCAACCAATAACCAACTATCCAAAGTAAAGTCACAATCAAAATGCAGAATATGAAAAATAATTTAGGCTGGATTCGAAGGCGAATTCCAGATTCAAAATCTAACAAGTTTCTTTCACAACTCATTCTCATTGAAACTCTCTGCTCCTTTGTTGCGCTGAAATTTATTCATTGAAAAGGTCAACGATTGTTGAGGCAAAATCAGTATCAGTCGATTCCTCCTCTTAATGAATCAAGTTGACATTTCTGTTCCTTTTATCACAACCTTGTGATTATCTTCTCGACTCTCATTCATATTTATCAATAATTGAATAATATGATAACAATTACTTTGATTGTCAACGAAACAGTTTATTGTGGGTGTTCAATGAATACTAAAATTCTCATGATAGTTAGCTCAAGCTTGGAACTCGTCAAATCAAGAATTAATTCTGCTAAAGAAGACAACACAAAGAAGCAAAACATTTGTTTCTTTGCCCAAAAAGTAAAAGATTTTCATTTTCAACAAGTTTACTTGCAACAGCGAATTATCGAATTCCCAGTTGATATTAAAGACTTTCCGAAAGACAGAATTTTGTTAAGTTCATTTCATTTTATTCAACAATTTCTCTCTCAATGCAAACTTTAAATTTTTCAAAACCAATCTTTTTCCATCTTCTTCTTTCTTGCACCAATTGAGTCTATCAAATAAATTGAAAATAAAATGATTATACAAGAGTTCCATCATGAATGAAGAAGAAAAAATGTCAATCTATTTTAATCTTTTCCTTCTTGTATTCACAACATTTTAACCTTTCAAAGATTAACCAAGCACAATCATTGGAATCGCCAAAAATTATCAAAAAATAAATCCCTTAACATGAACAAGATCAAATTTCATCATGTAAACATTTGTAATTCCTTTTAATCTCATTGATGAAAGAACACTTTGTTTTCCTCAAAACTTAATCTTGTATTGATATTAATTAAAGTTCAACATTTGATCTCGAAAAGCAAAACGCAAAAGAATCGCGAAAAAAACCATTAAAAGTCAACCAAAAGAAATTAGAAAATCATTTAAATCTATTTTTTGCAGATTCCTGTTTCATGTCCAGCATTCACCTCTAAATCACCGAAAATGAGTCAACCCGATTTAGATTTCATGGCACCCGAAGTTCAAGCTTCTTCCGCTTGTAGTCCACAGAGCGATATGTTTTCATTTGGTCTGTTAATATGCAGTATTTTTAATAATGGTCGATCACCTATTCAAGCAAATCTATCAACAGCCAACTACACTAAACAATTGGAAACTGTAAGTTGGGAAAATTATTTTTTCGATTTTTCATTTTCTTTTCATTCTACAGTTGAATCGGAGTGTTCAAGAGCTATTGGATCGTATGCCTATTTTATTAGCTGAAAATGTACCCGCTCTTTTGGAACCCGCTTCACGTAAAAGACCAACTTCACATACCTTTTCTATGGTAAGAGTCGCTTCTTGTTAGGTCAAGTTCACATTCAATGTTGAGCTTGAATAACTTTCCATATTTAACCAGTCGATTGAACAAGACTTTACTTTAATTTAAAATGTTTAATCATCTGAGGATCGAGCAGAAGCTTTTTACACTCGAAAAGATTTTTTTAAGTTTAAGCTTAAAGATTAAAAGAGTGGAGCAATTGAACAGATTAGCTCAGTTTCATTACCATAAGTTGATTTGAAGTGAACACTTGAATGTATTTAATTAGCAGGAAAAGTTTGTTAAACTGAAACATTGAAAAACCTTTTTTTCTGGTTCAAGTTGTCAAGTTTAAGCTCGATATTTGTATTAATAAATTTAACGGTTGCAATAAAATTTGTTGTGTTTCATCTGAAAAGGCAAACTATTTATTGTTCACATTTTGACAGTAAACCGAATGATAGCAAAGTTGCTTTTTTTACCCAATATATTTACAATATTTAACCCATTAAAGCATAAATTATTATCCACAATTAATTCTAATAGAATGAAAATGAATTGGTTGAAGTTGGTTTAAGAAAAATGTTGCCTAAAAATGTAATTATTGAAAGTGAAAAGTTGCTTCAATGGAAGGAAAAAAACTCCCAGTTGATGGAGTGGTTATACAGTAGACAGTTAATAAGTGTCCATTAAACTGTTGAAATAAACTGTTGACTGATGATAAATTTCAGGCTGACTGTTGATGGTTGTTGAGGAATCAGTGCGAAGCGAAAAGCAGTTTAAAAATTGTGAATCAGCCAAACAACAAGAAGCATTTCGAAGATCAAACCAAGTGGAGAAAATATCAAAATAAACATTTCAACATTAATATTTTATTATCCGTTTGGGTATTTTAGCTACTAATAAAAGTAATAAGCCAAAAATGAAAAGTTATAATTCACATTTTACTGGGAGTGAGAATTTTCTTCCCAGCTTTGAGTCCAAAATCATGTCTGAATATGTAGCGAAATTTTGGGACAACTCGATCAAGATAATCCATCAATTGAACTGATCAAGATGGAAATGAAAATTTGAAACAATAAATGGCTGAGAATCAGAACTTTCTTCTGATAGAGTTTGAGTTATACTCAGAGACTCAATTGTTCGCTCGGAAATATGAGGGTGAATCTTTTCATCTCATTTTAATCCTACTAATCCCTTGGCATTCTGCTCCACGAGTTCATTAACATGAACTTATGGTTGAATATATTGATTAAAAATACTTCAATCTGACGAAGTTCAGGAATTTTAAGTGAGCTTCGGATTCGTTTAGAGTTGAACTTTTTGTTAGAAAAATGTAGAGTCATGCGAGTTCCAAAATAGCTGAATAAATACTGGACTATTAATAGTTCTAGAAAATTTTCTAAATTTACACTCGTCAGCATCAATCATGATCACTTGTAAAATTCCTGAAAGTTTTCAACTCTTTATCCTTTTAAGTTCCTAAAGAAGCGGATTATCTTGTCTGTCCGAAAATTTTCCTGCATAGGTTAATATTTGAAGTGACACAGCCAATAGTTATTAGTTATTAATAGTTGTAAGGCAAAGTTGCGAGATGAAATCTCGAGATTCAGTTTATGGATTTACTGGGAATAAGAATCCTGGTGAATTATAAGCTACTGAAAAGCGGAAAATGTTGAGCTGCAAGGTCAATTATCCACTTGGTGAGTAGATCATTATTCACAAGAGGTTGGGTCAGGTTTGTCATTCACAGGCAGTTGTCTATTTATCTGTTTATTATATTTATAAATACAGGGTATTTCAGCTAATCTAAGATTTCTTTTGGTTATTAATTCACTCTGAAATGACTTGAAGTGCTCATTTGCTATATCAAGGTCCAAGTTATTCAAGTTCATTTTTTGCGGAAATCACTCCTGATATTAGAGGTCAAAACAAGTGTAATTTACGGAGCAAAAAAACTTTACAGATCAAGTTGCGAACCTCTATGACAAGCGCTTGTCCACATTAAATTCAAGCGAGACGACCTATTAATCCTTGTTGACTGTCATTGCGTTGACTGGGAGTCCTAATGCTGAACTTTAAACTTTTACAGCCCTTGTCATAGAGTCTGGAAACTTCGATCCTTAAAGTTTTCTTACTCTGAAACTCTTAAAATGCACTTGTCTGATCTCTAGAAGTGATTTGCAGAAAATGACCTCAGATGATTTTGACCTCGAGATACAGAAAATGAATAACTGAGAAATTTCCTTAGACGAAATTCCAGTACTCTAATCTCAGAGTGAATAAGCAAAATAAATCGTACAAATTAGCTAAAGTACCCTGTATATGCAATATCACAGAAGATAAGGAAGATAACAATATCAAAATAAGGAGAATTGATTTTGCAAGTAATAATATGTCATCCATTCAGGGATTGATAAAAGATATTATCACTGGGATTGACTGTAGAGACTTAAATGATACACAAAATGGAAAGTAATGGAACAGCCAATCATGAGAATAATAACGATAATGATAATAATTTGGACATATTAAGGTATAGCCAAAGTCCATGTTATCCAGGGAGGTAAAGTTATCAAGAAAATACTCCAAGTGCAGGGAGTGAAACTTATCAAGCATAACCTTTTGTATAAACATTTAGCACAAATTTTTACTCCAACTTGTCATGGATATAAATATTGGTTTCAAAATTTTTCAGGTTAAAATGGGTTGAGCCTCAAACTCGAGCTTTCTGTTTCTGCTTCAACGAATGAAAAGAGAAAAAAAAAGTTTATTCAGTTTTCTGCATACAATTGACTGGATTCCCTCAGTAACAATGAATAATTTACATTTTAAATTTAAATACTTTGTCCAAAAATGTAAACATTTCTCTCTCGAATCAATTCTGTTAACTGATTACCTTTTGTTTCTCTTTCCGTTACCTGCCTTCGAATTTGAAAAAAATTCATTTTTACAGATAAAATATTTTCACGATCAAGGAGTTCATGCACTTCAATATCTCGATACAATTCAAATGAAAGATTCAATGCACAAGGCAAACTTTTATCCAAGCCTTCGAGGTGTCCTCTGCACTATCCCAAAGGTAAGCTTTGTTCACTTTGTTCACCCAGTCATTCATCATGTTACCCTTTAACCATCTTTTTGGCAACTTGGAAAGAAGAAGAAAATTGAGATTCCAAGTTTTGATTGACTTGGGAAACGAAACAAAAATAACACAAATTTTGATTGAAACGAGCAACTGAAGCAAGAATTTGGATTGTTGACTTTCATGAAAAATTGAGTGATTCAGTGAGAAAATGGAATAAACAAAAAAAAGATTTTCTCATTGAAACATTGTTCTTTATTCAGCCAATTAAAATGCTTTTTGTTGGTCAAATGCTCAGTTCGTTGTCCATAATTGTTCATCAATCTGTCGAGAATGAAAATTCTGTTTGCTTTTCATTTTTCAATTCTTTGTTTATTCATATTTAATCAGCGAATTCTATTGAAGGTTAAAATTTTCTGGAAAAATTCAAGATGCTGTTGGTCGCTTTGATCGTTCTTTCACATTTTCCGTGAAATTATTTTCCAAGTGATTTATGAATTGAATCATTTATTATGGTAGATCAACGATTGGCACATTTGTCATCATGACCATACTCATGTCTTGCATATTATTAATCACTGAATATCAAAAGTAAAAATAATCATTATTCAATGAATAAATCTATTATTTTCATTTCCAATGAAACTTTCATTAATATTGTCATAATGTTAATCTATTTTCAGTTATTAATCAACAGTTTGAGTAGTCATAAGCAGATATTTTTACCTCTTGACCTTTTCCAGTCAAGTTGATCAACTCGAGATTCAAGAAGAAATCTTCTGTTCGATTTGGGTTCATTTTGTTTTTCATCTGAAAATTTCCAAGTTGAGTAACAAATAGTAACAAAGAAAATCATTTTCAGCAAGATAATGATTGTAAGCAAATGATGATGGGTTGAACAAGATGAAGATATCTTTAGGAAAGAATAAGAAAAATGTGAAAAAAAGTGTAATTTAGAAGCATCAAGCTCTACTTACGACCAGAATTTTGTCTTTTTTTCTCATCATCATGAAAGAAAAAGAACGAAAAAAAGTGAAATAATATCCAAGTTTGCGATGAAAGTTTGGAAAGGTGAAAAAAGATGACAAAAATAAAGGTAAAATGTGCAAAAAGGAAAAAAAGTAAAATGTTGAGAGAAGGAAAAAAAACGAAACAAAAGGATGAAAAGATGAGGATGAGTTGAGAAACGAACAGAAAATTCATCTTTCTCAGGTAAAGAACATGGTTTCATGTGTTGCCCTGAACGTCATTCCCAATGATTGTTTGATGATACTTCTGACAAAGTCCAAACAGAAGCTGGAATCAGAAATATGAGCTCAACAGTTTTTGCTCTAGAAATGAAAATTTTCGCTCTCACCTTATTTACACTTTTTGAAACTCGATAAATATTGACCTTTCAACTTAGAACAAAGAATTGTCTAAAGATAGTTTTCATCTCTTCTCTTTACTCACATCATCTATTCAACTGAATAAGCTTCATGTTTGCGAAACTCGTTTTAAATAGTTATAAGAATGGAATTGAACAAGCAAAGAATCATTAATGAATTGAAAAAGGGCAAAAAATGTATTTTCATGGTTCATGGAAAGAGAAAAAATTCCATTTCTTTTCTTTCTCTCTTCGATCAAATTTTTCACTTTCTTTTCAAGTTTCACTTTCGATGAGTAAATTAATGAGCAAATGTTCAATGACGAACAAATGCAAGTGAAACCTTTTTTTCCTCTTGCAACATGAAATTATTGGCTTTTCCATCATTACTATTTAATTAGATTCTGAATAGACAGAGTTTAATAAATTCAACTTTTCCAACTTGTTTGATGTTATCATGCAAACAAACATGAAATTTTAAATGAAAATCTTCATAATCTGCTTTCAGAGGTTCTTTTACCAGCGATCATTAATCAGATAATTCAGATGAAATTTATAATTGGATTTGTGAACTTGATCTTTGGTGAGATAACTTTTTTCTCGAAAATCGTTATTCCATGGTTACACTGGATGAAAAGATTTTCAAGGTTGATAAAATTCTGTATTCAGACTGGTTCTGTCAATGAAATTTGGGTTTAAATTTTTTTTCCTTTTCATTTTATTTGAAAACATTGACATTGAATGGCGAAATTTGAAGTTCATTTTTTTCGATTTCATCAGATTTCTGTTCATTATCATTTTCCACCAAATTCATGACCTACTTTGTTAATTATTTTCACTATTTTTAGAACTTTTTCAAACTCGATTTAACTTTATAATCAAGTTTATCCTTCGTTCCTTCCCAGTCATTCCCTGTGAAATTTTCTTTTATCAGATGGAAAATATTCTCATTTTTCAAGTCAACTTAAAGAAAAGATAAACTCAATTAAATGTTGCATTCAGAGGATTAACAGAATCAACAGACTTTTCCATCTTCCACCTGAAAAATTTCAATCTTACCTACAGGAATGCTGTTACAGATGATAATCATTAAGGAATGTTTCACTGCTCTAATGCTTCCCATGGAAGGAAAGAAAGAAAAAAAATTATCAGATTTTTCTTGCCGTTCCTTTGCTTTTACAAAAAGTAGCTCAAATGAAAAATGTTCATCAGATTTTGGTTCATTTTCCTGCATTTCTTATCCAATTATGATTCCTATTATTATTAATTTATCTACGAAAAAAAGGTAGAGAAAAAAAAGTAAACTGAAAATCCAAGAAATAAAAAGGTTGAATAGATCAGGCGCAATCATTTTTTCTTGTTAAATTCATCTTTTATCGTTCAATGAGGAAATTTCTCTTTTCCATGATAACATTTTAAAATATAAACGTAAATCAAGAATGAATTGTAAGCTGTTATTTCCATTGATGGCATTTAAATTTTTCTGCTCAACAGCAATAACAATAATTCAAAGGCATTCATTTTCAAGTGGTGAACAATGAGAATGGTTTCAACAAATGAATATAAATTGACAGTGATAATGTTTACCATGAAAGTTGTATAATTTTAGTTGGACTTGAACTCCATGAAAGGAATGAAGGAATAGAGTAAAGGTAGCAAAAGCTCAAAATTGTGATAAAAAGCTCTTGACATGTTTAAATACTTGACGAGTGTAAACAATTGCGAACGACTTTTGTGCTTCAAATGCTCCTGAGTCTAAATGCCAAGACTTTGAAGCAATTCCAGCCTGAGAACGAATCAGACTTTTACTGACTACAGATAATTGTCCTAAGTAAATGCTTTGAGCAAACAGCAAATGTTAAAGATTCATAAAGAAAGATCAACTCGAAAGATGAACTGGAAAACCTCAGAATCCAGAGAAATGTAAAATTCCCAATAAACATCATTCCTCAATATTTTCTAGAAAATATAATTCGATTCTTTATGAGCTTAAAGACCAACGCAAATCGAAGCGATTTTTCATTTCGTTGCAATCTTTTCCTCAGTTTGTATTGTTTTACAAGTTTACACTAAATCTTAAGTCTTAGAACTGCAAAGAATTCGTTGATGAATCAATCGCAATAGAAAGATACAAATTAACTTGTTCCATGAGTTTGATCCTTGGAACACTCGATGAGAATCTTGGAGTTTCTAATGAGCCAAGTGTCAATTTGAGGGGAATTGGAATGCTTTTTGTGGTCAGTCCTTTTCGCTGATCGAAGTTCATTGAAAGGAAAAATGTTACTTTTGTTATTATTTGGATTTGAATGTTGCTACAAGTGCTTTAATACTTTACCTTAAACACAGAGATACTTATCATTTGAAATATCTTTTGCCTCCTGAGAAGCAACTTAATGGACAATAAACAGTCGACTTAGCAACTCATCACAGAATCCCATCAACATGTTGATTTGTCAAATGTTATTGTAGTTGAAAGATATTACTGTTTACCCTGAACACTGAGCAAAGTAGACTCAAGAATCTTCACAACATTTTGATAACAGGGAATTGAGTAAGGAGAAGATGGAAAAGTAAGGGAAAAGAAAAATCTCAACTTGAGATTTCAAAGACGAACCTTAAGTCTTTTTTTATCACTTTTTTTCCTCTTGATTCTCTTCTTCTCATATTCTCATCACTTATCCACAATCATTTCACTTTTTTCCTCAACTTGTACATCCTTAGTGTCAAATGTGTGATCGGGTATCATCAACGTTACCATCAATAAGGTAGACCAGGGAAGGAATGAAGTTTGCCAGAGAAAAGACAAAATCTCTTCAATAATAAACTCTCTTTGCTTGTTGTTTTGTATGAAAATAGCTTTGAAACTGTCTAAAGTAGATGTTTAAGGGAAGAAGAAGAAAAAAAGTGACAAAAGTTGTTTCCAAGTCGATAAAGTTTCGTTTTTTCTTTCAGATTATTTGACAATTTTTCTTTACCTTCAATGAGTTTCATTCTTTTCTCACCCAAAAATTGAATCAATTGAATTATCACCTACAACCAGCTATTACATTATTATTTCTCCATTTTACTTGACTCACCTTTTCTTTAGAATCAAAAGTCAATCTTGCAATTTTTCCCTTTCCTTCAATTTCGCCGCCTTTGTTTGTTCCAAACTTCAATCTAACCTGAAAATGTTTATTGCAAAATTGATTGATAACGATTGTTGTTTCGCTCCTTTTATTGCGATCTTAAGACATTGTTATATTATCTTGTTGGTCCAGAGACGAATGTTTAACCCAAATTGTCTGATCTCAATCTTGTGCTCAACAAAGTCAGGTTCATCAAGATAACCTGTTATACGTTTCAAGGTCAATATTGTCTGAAGAAAAGCTGTACAAATTCAATTTGACAGTTTTATGTTGACAGGTTGTTAACTTAAGAATGCCCTGTCAACATTTTTTCACTTTTCCAAGAACTTTTGTAACCTCAAGGACGACTATAAACTTGGCTTTCAATATTTCGAGTTTGAACAAGTTTCTATTCTGAATTGTATGAGACTTTGAAAGATATTAATAATTTGTTTCAATGATAATGCAAAACAAACGGCAATAAAGTTTGATGAAAAATTTGGCTAAGCTTGACCCGAAGCATGAAGCATTTTTCATTAGAATTAAACCAATTCATGCTTTCGTTGCGCTGAGAAACTGCAAGCTCATGAGGTCCAGTATCATCATGGCAAGGATAGCTGACAGAAGAGTTTGCAGCGCGATTTGATTAGAAATGAGAAATGGTTCTGCAGAAGAAGTTGCTTTCTTAGCTTTAAATCAAAAATTGTTTTCTTTAAAATAATAAAGTCGAAAATAAAGTTATAACTGATTATTATTATAGTTCTATTATTTTAAATGTTTCCTCATTGACTTGGAGTTCCCAGTGACTCCAAGTGTGTATTGTATTGAATTTTATATCAATAAAAAGATCACCTAAAGAAAATTCTTGATTAGTTACTTGATTCGATCAATTACAGTAGTATTACCATGCTTGACCAATATGTTAAACAGATATCTTTCAATATCCAAAACAATTTACGAATATTCAGTTTTCTGTTTTATTTTTGGTCAGTTTGATGTTTAGCTAATTGCAAGCGAAAGAATAAGAAATTTCGAGTTTTTTCTTTGATTAGAAAAGCGAAATTCCCTTATATAATTTCAACAAATGGCAATGCAAAAACTGCAATAGTTGAATATGTGTCAATGCTCAAGTAGAATCTAGTTTGCAAAGATTTTTAAAGATCAATAATAGTCGTAACGACAGAAAATAGAGTCAAAACTATTCAGTAGTTCAATTGAATGGACAGAATAGTCGATAGTTTCAATTATATTTCAATGCTCTGTTTGGCTACTCGCAAATCAGGGCTCAATATGAGTTTATTAACAACTAATTATTAGCTAAACAACATTTAAGTAAAACTTGAGAGTCGATCGAATGGAGAAAACTTTATTTTCTCGATTGCCCGAATGGTTCATTTGCCATCTCAATCCACTTATCATTATGAAACATTTGCACCATGAAATGCTGATTAACAGTCATCTTTTCTATTAAACACCGAAAAGGTAGAACTGGATTATTGGTTGGTTGAACGAGCTAATAAATTATAAACCAATTTGATTGATTCTCATTAAATAGCTCATTAAATTATCCAGCCTACTTGAAGATTTAACCATTTTTTGGGAACTTCATTTTCATGAATATTAATAACAGCCATGATAATGATACAGAGAACGAAAGTGAAAGTGAGAAAAGATCTCAACTTGGCTTGAATAATTGAACTGCAAAACATGATATAAAAGCTAATTGAATGTACAAATAATGAGAAATAAAAAGAAAGAAGAAAACTTTTGTTTCCATTTACTCCATTCAATTGCAAGCTCGGAATAATTAGTATTGATATTATTTCCATTATCATCATTGACTTTTACCATAAATACATTTGCATTAAAAGTGTTCATTTGTTGTTCAGTCAAAAACGAACAAAAAATAAGCTCAAAAGTCTAATGATTATAATTATGGGAAACAATATTAAACAATAAATGCAATAAATTTATATTCCATGATATTGAGCAATCCAATGAAAACTCATGCTTCTGTCATAATAAATGTCCAAACAAAGTGTATTGATATAAATCAAACAAGAGTCTAGGATAAACAAAACACAACAAACAGTAAAAGACAAAAAAGTAACATTTCACATGAAAAAGAATACATTTGTTCCATTGAAAACTAATTCTTTATTCCCATAATCTTTTACAGAAAATGTGGTTCCAACATATTCTACCAACCATCAGTGCTGAGCTTCAATTCAACGATGTTCTTGCAGCCGCCCTTCAACCCATTCTCTACATCATTGAGGAATGCAATACAGACGAATATCAAAATTATATTCTTCCAATCATTCGGAATCTTTACCAAGCACCCAAATCAGTTCAGGTAAAACTAATTTTCCATCAACACTCAATGCAACGATTTTGAACATTTTCATTTGTTTGTTGAATATTCAATTCTGTTGGACGGAATTGCGTTTCGTTGTTAACTTTAATCAATTCAAAGAGTTAGTTTGTAATTTGTTTGTCATTGAATGAAATTAATTTTTAATTGCAATCGTTAATCACATTTATACGGTCAATCGAAAGGAAGAGTTTCGTTTTCCTGCTTCTGTCTCAACCTTTTTTACCATTCCAGTTGCTACCGAATTGTTCAAGTTGCTCTTTCCTGATTCTATTGATTAACTTGTCTATTAATTAGTTTTGACGTTTCCGTGACTTGAAAATATTCAAGGGTTATAAGTGTGTTCACTTTACAATGAATGCATTATTAAAAACACTGTTTGAATGAGAAATAATTTTATGCTAAACAAATAGTACAAAGGAGAGGAGAGACAAAACCAGAAAAGGCCAAATTACATTTGAATAATGATTCGAATAATAATTGGTTTGAAAGTGTAAAATTGTTGGCTTTGCTTTTGTCTTCAACCTTTTAGTTTTAATTTCAATTCAATTTCCGTAAATTGTTTTTCCTTCAATTAGTTCTCGTAATTAAACAAATGTAACTCTTGGACTGTAATGAAGTCACAAAGCGGGCAAAAACTGATCAATTATGATTTGTGCAATCGATTTAAATGTTGATCAAAGTTTTTGGTCCAAATAAAGGTCAAGAGAAGAAGGAAAAGTAACCTTTCAACTGGAAATATATCGAAGGTTGAAGAGAATTTTCTTTCACAATAATAACCAGAAAATAGCTATTAGCTGATATTTCACTTTCTTTACTCTCTTCATGATCATCATTTTCAGAAAGTTATCCTTCCATGAAATGGGAAAGTTATCACAACGGAAGAACACGAATATTACCTTTAGAAATTTTGTTTTCTTCTTCTGGCCTTTTCATGAGGAATACACAGAGAATAATGGTTTTAAATGAGAAATCATTTTGTACCATTGATTAGTTAATTATAAAACTTTAACAATGAATCGCATCATTCCTTGGATCAAGAGACTGGTTAAGGAATATTGCGATTAAATATTCTGAATAATGTTTTTCTTTGGAGTAATAATCATCTTTGACCATTTCTAGTGTTACCTTTACTTGTTCAGGTAAACTGTTCCTAACTGTTTGCATAAGAGAATAAAATTGATCCAAAATGATGTTATTAACCTTTATTCGTATTCTTAGCACAATTCACTGTCTTTTACATGCAATCTAAATACTTATTTAAACTAATTTTCATCTTTTTCCATCTTGCAACTTGCAATATCATCTTTACTCTCATCACTTCAACTTACAGTTATGCAAATTAATGTGACCTCTTTCATCTCCTCATATTCACTGGTTATACACTTAACCAATCTAATGCAGAAAGTAAACAGTAAACTTTATGATAACTTGAATAATAAGTCTAAGTACTTATGCTGTTTAATGTTCATCTTGATATTAAACTGTAAATGAAACACATTTTCATTGTCTATTGACAACAAGCGACTTTCATATTCATATTTTCCACAATAAAGTGCATATTCGAGTTAAACTTTCCTCTCATCATCAGAATGCTTTCCACGTTCAACTTTCACAGGTCAATTCCTAATGATAGAAGCTTAGAAGCTTGAAAAAAACTGTCAACTTGACTAGAGCTAACAATTTGAATAAACCTCTTTTGGAGCAATTGAAGTCACTTTAGAAGCATAAAGAATGCAAAGTCAAGGATTTGCAACTCTAAAGTCCTATGACTTGAAGATCAAAAGGCAAACAGTAACTCGCCTTTCGTCTAACGAAAAACGCTTGCTTCTATTCGCAGTCAAAGCGGTTTGCTATTCCCGTTGCAATGAAACAGTTTTGGCTTCTTTGGTTAAGCTCAGTTCACTCAATTCTTGCTAAAAGATGCTAGACTTTTGTTAACAGCGTTTTGATGCATTCAACTAGTGAATGAGAATTTATTTGCATACGAAATTTTCATCGGTCAAATCTTAATAATAGGGCTTGAGAAACGCTTCAAGTTGACTAAAGTTAACATTTTAACAAACTTCTTATGGAAGCAATTGAAGTCACTTTAGAAGCATAAAGAGTGCAAAGTCAAGGATTAGGTTTCGCTCTAAAGGCCTATGACTCTGAAGATCGAAGGCAAAAAGCATTGCGTTTCTTTTCGAATGAAAAAGGCTTGATACTAATTGTAGTCGAAGAGCTTTTGCTATTTTCTGAAACATTTTATGCTTCTTTAGTTAGCTTAGTTTATGCAAAAATTGTTAAAAGATGTTAAACTGTTGTTTGCGGCGTTTTGATGCATTCAACTAGTTGCCTAGAATTTATTTTTAGAAGTTTTTGGATAAAAGCGTTTCTTTTTTAACCAAAATGAATGTTCTAAGTGTCTATCCAAGTATTTTCCATGCTGTTGATTGGAATGATTTGTGATGCTAGTTCATGATTTCGCATCATGCAACTGTTATTAGCTCTATTATGCTATTATTGTTGATTATCATTATGATGATTATTACTAGTATTTTTATTACTATCTTTATTACTTTGTTATTACTGTGGCAAATGGTAAATGCAAAAATTGAAACAACCTTTTTTGTGATGAAACCATCATAATTCAGCATTCTGTTTAGCTGTACAGACTTTTTTTTCATTTATCAAACAAAAAAATCTCATTTCTGCTTGTAGATTCTCTATTATTCATCACAATATTTATATCACGTCAAACTTGTATCATTACTGCAGCGAAGAGTGATTACTTGTAGATCACCAATCGATATTGGATTGGTAAGAGTTAAGGTAAAGTCTACGTAAAGTAGTTCAATGAGGTTATTTGAAAATATTAATATTGCTACTTATTAAATTTGTAAGTGACAAGAAAAAAACAATAAAATCGTTTAGTGACATTTTATTAATAGTTTAGCCAGTAGGTTAAGTGATAAAGTGAGTCGAGTAAAGTATGTTAACTTGAAACACTTTGAGATTTATGCACATCTCAGACCAGATCTGGAGACATCACTTTGAATGATTGTCGGATTGAATTGCTTTCAGCTAAAGGCAAAACTGGTTAATGGCCAATTGCAAGTAACAAAAGGCATCAAAACGACTTAAAATCAAACTGATCTTTCCTTTTACCAGGAAATAATCAATTTTATACGTTCATTACCCAGAAATTAATAAATTAGAAAGCAAATTATACTTAAGCAATCAATTTTCGTGGAACTATCAAGACAGAAAACATGTTAACATTTGAAATAAATGATGTTTCAATGCAGAATTCAATTACAGAAGAAAGCAGTTTAATTTATATTTAAGCTAAATTTAATTACATATTCTTATTATTTGGGTTTAATCAGACAATAAATTATATAAAGCAATACAAATCCCTAGTATTTGCGGTCAGTTTTCATGATTATTTGAATGCATAACACAAAGTCTTTGCAATCGGGCTTGATGTAGAACAGAATTAGTTTGAGTCCACCGAATCGTGCTATGTTCATCAAGGTTAGTAGTTGATCGATTTGCTCGTTTTGAGTCCGTTAAGTTTAAAAGTAGCAGTGCCAACCATTCAGCTCACCCAACTTGAGCTTCAACAGACAATCAACATGCAGGTGAACCAGAAATTATCCAGAATATGGTTTGAATGATAGTTTTGTTGGACTGAATGGTGCAACGAATTTTGATTGTCCAGGATTGTATGAAAAGGTGGGAATGAGGAATATTGAGATTAAGTTTTGTCAGTAATTAGCTGAAGAAGGTCACAGTTACGAGGAAGCATTTTAGTCTTTATTGTTTTCATTGCGAAGTTGAAAGTTTCATTTTTCCTTTTCATTTTCTGGTTTTCTGTACTTTTTCAATATAATACTTTGCTGATTGATCGAGAGAATCAAAGATTGAAACGACTGTGAAGACAGCTTATTTGATGGCAAAGTTGGTTCTTGGTTTTTGCTGATTAAATCTTGATTCACCGTAAACTATTGACCATTTCAATTTAAACTTGTTCACCTGCTTAACCTCCTCCAAGTAACTCATCAGTTGCCTTTTTGCTCATTGGGAATTGTTCCTTTTCAGCTAATAATAAAACAAATTCTCGGATCGGTTATAATTGTATCTAAAATGGTGAGGAAAAAAAGAGTTAATTCCATCTTTAAATTAATCATTCTCAACCTAATCAACCTTTGAAACATTCAACTCTTGACCAAACTCACAATTGATTAGTAATGAGTTTTTGAATGAGTTGAGGACAAGGAAGAGGAGAAGAGAAAAGAAAATAAATCAAATAGAAAAAGAAAATTAGATCATTTAATGATATTGCAGATGATGATTAAAGATAAAGAAAGAGCATCGAGTTAAGAACTGTTGAAATTGATGGTTAAATCACCTTTGATTGAGTGATTAAAAACAAATTTTCCCTCAATTATCTAGTCTTGTTCACGAACAATTTCAATCCCTGTTATTACAAAGGAAAACAATTATGCTGAGAACTGGAGAAATGCAAAGAAATTGAAATAATCAATTAAATGATATAAATTCCCAACAATCAATTATTTTGCCATTTCTTAATCAATACCGACAACCTGTAAATAATGGTTTCCTTTTCCTTCCTCTTTTTTCCAGCATCATTATTATTAAATGAATAATGATATTTTTCAGCATCAACAGTTTTTACTTAAAGTTGATCAAAGAAGGGAAACAATTAGTTTTAATAAGAGTTGAACAATTTGAATGGAATGGAGAACAAGAACATTTCTTGAGAACTCAACTTGCAACTTGATAATGATCGTGAGCATGATAATGATGATGTTGATTCATTACGAGAGATAAAACTGTGATTTACTTTTCATTTCAAATGGAATGTTGAAACAGAATTGGCAACAATTTTGGATAAAGCCAAGATAATGATAACCAAAGCTACCATTTAATGGACTCACAGGGAAGGTAAAAATAAATGTTGTGATATTATCCTT